CACCTGTCATTCGCGAATGCTCGGTCGTTCTGTACTATACGTATCCACTTCCCCCTCCGCGGGTCCTAATTTTTCTTCTTCGTCTTCGTATTAAATGCAGCAACGGGAGAGAAACAGAGGGGAGAGTGAGAGAGGGAAAAAAAACAAGCACCTTACTCTGCGCATTCCAAAACTTTGGGATTTGGGGACCAAAGGAGAAAAAAAAGAGGCGAACCGTATTCTCTTCCCGTAACCCGTATGTTTGGAATGGGAGGGTGTCTAAATTTCTGTAGACATGTGGGTGTGCTCGAAATAGAAATTACAGCTTTCCATCTGAGTGAATAAGAAAATAGTATGACACCCTCTCAGGTCAGAATCCAACAGTTGACGGTTAGAAGCCAGGCTAGCGCATCGTATCGAGTTCTATAAACCCTGTCCAACTAACACTCAGGCGGACATCATGGACCCATATCGAGCACAAAAACCGAGGCTTGATGATCGTCTAAACTCTTATATCCACAAAATTCAAAAAGATATATATAACCGCAAAAGTTTCCTTGAATCCTAGCCTTAGAGCGAATATCAGAGCTCTCGAAGAGCCGAAAGCGGGGGGTTGATTATGGTAGGAAATCCTTCTTAGCTCGGATGTTCAAGACATGTATCCATGCATTATGTTATACGAGCGGCTGATTAGAGCCTAGTCTCTCATAAGTCTTAGAAGCCGAGGAGGCATGGACCTAACCAGTGGCCATGCTAACCTGATGAAGAATAGTTTGGTACCTTTGCCGCAGAACTGCAGCGGAACCAGAAGACACAGCGAGCAGATTTACCGCCCCAAGATTTCGGCGTCCACCAGAGGTTCGTGCTCTCTCAAATCCACTGTTGCACAGCTCCACTTTTTCAAATTCATGCCTTTCAGAATCGATTGAAGATACCCAGTATCTTGCTAGCGCCTCTGGCGAAACGCCCTAACGCAAGATTATACGAGACCTAACTTTGCCCGAAACACTTTCGTTATATATATCTCTCTTCAAAAACGGTATCACACCGACGTAGTTCTTTTCGAACAAGTGATGCAATATGATTTCACAAATCCCCAAAAAACCTAATCCATGTGCTTGATTAATACTCTCTTAATATCAGCCAATCTAACACGCATGACATCATCAGATGGGCTGACACCCTCATTAGCGTCTCTGTAAGCCCCATATGTTGTACATTATTCCTTACGTGTATGCACCCACCCACGAGGTTCGTGCCTAGTCCTAGGCCCCTACCCCGCCGACTAGTCTATTTTGCTTGAACTGTTGCTCGTCTTGTTTGCAGTTCGCATTTCAATTTTCTTGTGTCCATAACTTGCCGATCTAGGGAAATTCCTGACCTCCTACGTCCATTTAATGTCAGAAACTGCATGTACGTGAGCTCTCGCACCTGCATGCAGTCGAGAAGGAAAAAAAAAAAGAATACGCACCGAGGAAAGCGTCCGGGTACGCCGGGGCTTGGTGCAACATCAACATTTTCCTGACGCAGGAAAAACAAATATAGTTACGGACATACTATGTAGGTATGAGAGTTGGCCAGCTGGCTACTGCAGCGCTGGCCTGCACGAACCCAGACCAGCAACTTGGATCTTTTGCGGAACCGCGTATCCGGACAAGGATGCAAGCACACCCAACAGGTCTCCCTAAAGGGGGGCTGACAAGCGCAAATTTGTCATTTCAAACCGGTTACCCCCCTTCTACTGCAAGCGCATAGTCCTGCTTATGCCTGACCAACAACATTGAAATGTTGTTATCGTTTTTGTATATTTATGAGCTGGAAGAGGGACTTCTAAACGGAATATTGGCGGAGGGTAATGAGAGACCCGCTAACGGCACAAAGTATGCAATATGATGGTACATGAAATGAGTATTTAGTAACCTGCATGCATACTTCTCAAGAAGTTGGATATGTCCATGCACGGGAGGCCTCAAAATTAGTCGCAAAAAACAGACGAGTCGTTGGGATCATCCGATACCAAGTCCTTGGGAGATAACTGATAGTTGCATGGGCCCGAATTGATCGAGAGTCTCATGTTTTACGAGCATTCTAGTACTAGCTGTGGGCTTAAAAGCCCTCGAACTTTCGTCGCCACCACCCTACATATGACATGAAGATAACCTACTAGTTCTTCATGGACATGACAGTCTTAAAATACCGAGAATCTTCCGTTGGGCTAACTTACTAAGTTAAGATACGAAAATATTAAATACATGCGTACCTTCACGAGGCTTTTTTAACACACCAGACCACTTCCTTTAGCTGAAACAGTATTCATACCTGGCGAGAACCCCGTTTAGACCAAGTAGCCACACTCCCTTTCGCAACGTGCCATGGGAACTAAGACAACTTTCGCCTAAAAGATTTTGACGCATACGCGCACGGCTGGTACGAGTTAGTAATGGTTTTACGAGTGGTCCGAGTTCCCCCCTCCCTCAATTGATTGCAACATGATCAGATGACGTACGTGGCAAGGCATAAGTTCTGGAATTAGGGTCTGTTCTCGGCTCTGTTGGGTCCTTCAACCTTTGGGCCCTGTGGACTCCGGAGCCTCGGAACTAATTCCAGTAGTCCGGCACATGTGCCCAGGATCTGCGCCTATCAAACGGTCACAATTTGCGAGGAAGCCGGAAGGTGGGACGCATATAGGTAGTGAATGCCTTGAACACAGACATTCGAGTTGGCCTGGTCTCTTTCCAAGTTAACCCACTTTCTTGTAGCCTTGGCTTTGAGAGGGACATGAGTATCAGACGATGCAATAGACTGACATAACAGTTGTGGTAATTCTGATTCCGGCCACTCGGAATATGTTCCAATTACGCCTTCTTGCCAAAGTCGTATTTGCGCCGTTAATTTCGACCTCGTGTCGGCTGCAAGCGTTTTTTTACATGTGCATGTTGAATATTTCGTGCATTTATTTCTTTTTCAACTTTCAAAATTTCATGGCTGCAGTTTTGAACGCAGTGGGGATTTCGCCCGAGAGTTATGAGCATGTGCAGCTCCTGGCTACTCCTTCATTGGATCGTGCTAACGAGCTCCATCTCATCTCATCGCAAGTACGAAGCCCGAGAGTGTTTTTTTTTTTGGCAAATAACCAGCCTTTTGACGTCTGAAACTGGCCAACGTAAATCCGAATCCAGTCGAATTTTCGAAAAGATGGAATTGGAATCAAATGTGGTTTTTTCTTTCTCAGCCAATATACAATGCTTCTTTAAAGCTTTTCGATTGATATACGTACGTGGGGTTAGATCCAATGTAGGCTCCCAAAGCCTTCTTAGTAGTGGCATATGTATATAATAGGTGTATGTTTCTGTGATCTATGCATGCATATGCATCCGGCCTCGAGGTCAGCGAGCTCTATAATATTACAACCAGTGCCTGGCCTCCAGGTTACTATATAGCCAAACTTACGAGAGTTCGCTAGCTTATATACATGGCCGCACATTCACCTGCACTTCCGTAACGTTCTGCCTGTCAGCCAGACGATTCGTATTCACCTCCGCCACCATACTCCCGCGGCATTACACCCACCTCAAAGAAAATTTTTGTGTGGTTAATTATATATCTTGCAAAGCTGATTGAATTAATTGATGAATCCTACAGTTATTAGATAGACTTCGTTTTGATCCCTTAACTCCGATCCTGGTGCTAGTTATCCTTCTGAGGTTGTCTCGTACCCAGACCTGGAAGCTTTTAGAGGGATTGTGCCAATTTATCCATTGCATAGTACCAATAGAAAAAGCTAACCTAACCACAAACACTTTTAGAGCTAGAGTCCCCAGCTCAGTATCCACCCTATTGACCCTTTGCAAGGCCCAAAAGCATCACGTGTAGAAGCTCTGGAATCCTTGTGACACAGAAACCAAGTAATTCTGGGGCCCAATTTCACTACGTGATGTGGTTCTCAATAACTGTTTGTGTCACCAGAATTTTGAGCTTCAATATCATCACGTGAAATTCCAGGTCTATATACACTCACTTACTCCAAGCTTTAGTGTAGATCCTTTGTGACACCTAGGTTTTGAGCTTCAATATCATCACGTGAAATTCCAAATCTCTATAGGTACTCTCACCCTTATTCCAAGCCGTGTGTAGTATTAGATCCTTTGTGACACCTAAGCTTCGAGCTTCAATATCATCACGTGAGATCCCAGGTCTGTCTCTATATGGGTGCCCACTCACTTATTCCAAGCTGTGTGTAGTAAGAAATCCTTTGTGACACCTAAGTTTTGAAGCTCAATATCATCACGTGAAATCCAAGGTCTATATACACAGTACTTGTTCCAAGCTTTGTAGATCCTTTGTGATACCTAAGTTCTGAAGCTCAATATTGTCACGTGCTGGGGTAGAATTCGTCGACTGCTGAGTAAGAGGTCATACACTGTTATTTCAGGTTACACAGCTAAACAGCAGTTTCTGAGGTCAAAAATGTCACGTGCATGGCTATGGTCTTTGAAGGAGAGTCGACCCCACCAGTTAGTACTACATCCAGAAGCCTGACCAGCTGGTTTCATGGACCAAAAGATTCGTACTTTGGTATCGGAGTGTCTGGATATCACAAATGAATAAGCTACATGCATCCCTCAACTTCTACCTAATCGGCACCGGTGTGGCCTAGGCCTGGGCGGATTTCTAGATATGCTCCTAACTAGCTTTCGATTGTGCGCTTTTTACTCTTCCATTTTTGACGAGCATACATATAACATTCGGAATAGTTAAGCTTGTACAATGACTATCATTTATTCGTAATGGGACTAGCCTTTAGTATAACTTGATACTAGATGCATATTTGTCTCAAACCAGACTTCGCAAAACCCCTAACACCGCTTCATCCGAACATCCACATTATCATACCGGTTAATTAACTAGAATCATATACCTTACTCTCCAAAGCCGCCTTTGATTAGGAAATTAGATAAGTTATCTGATATATCTTCACAAATAACATTCCACTGTGTCCCATAACATAGTCTGCACCCCCTTTAGATCCCCATTAACATCCCTCCATTACAAGAAACTACACTCCCAGTACACCAATAACTATCAGGCAGACAAAGCATACCCACACACCCTGCGATTTCTTCGGATGTTGCTCCACGGCCCTTTGCACCACCGGAATTCATCAATGGTGCATGCTCTGTTTTATACCCCCAAGTTCCATTAGCCATCTCATAACATATTCACTAAACAAAAACAAAATACACAGAGAGAGAGAGAGAGAAAACATACCAATAAAAGGCCTCATAACCTCCTTAAACTCCTCACTAGTCCCACCATACATATCCGTCACCACAGGACCCGGATTAACACAAGTAGCCGTACACCTCTCCGCCAACTCCCTCGCCCACGTTCTTGTCATAGCCTCCAAAGCAGCTTTAGTACCTCCATAAATAGCTTGTCCCGGCAATCCCAAAGTCGCAGAAACACTCGAAAGCGAAACAATCCTACCGGACCCATCATAAGGAAGATACGGTATCGCAGCCTGAACAAGTAATAAAGGACCTAAAACATTGATTCTATAGTGTTCGTCAAAGACCGCGGGTGTGACATCTACGGTCTTTGTGTTTTTGGAGATACCGGCGTTGTTTATGATTATATCGACTTTTAAGGGTCGTGTGCTGGTGGAATAGAGGGGGGAGGTTTTGATGGCGGTGATTATGTCCTCGCCGACGCTGGTGTCGCCTAAATCTGCTTTGACGATGATAGAGGAGGTACCGTAGGTTGCTGAAAGGGTGTCGGCTAGGTCTTGTGTCTTTTGGGCGGAGGAAGGGGAGGTGTAGTTTAGAACTAAAGTTGCGCCGTAGGAGGCGAGTTTTGTAGCGATAGCAGCTCCAATACCTGGGATTTAGAAAGCAAGCGGGTTAGCGTGTTGAGGTGTGGTATTTTGGACCAAGCTGTTTGGGATGGGGAGGATTCTGATTGGCTGGGGGATTTTGGAGCTTTGGAATGTATACCTCTTGAAGCTCCAGTGACAATGGCAAGCTTGCCCTGCAGTGGTTTGTAGCCGGCGTTACCCGATATTTCTGGCATTTTTGCTGTGCTTTCGAATGGATAAGTATTCGGTGCTCTTCCTTAGGACCTTTCAAACTTAAGTTGTTGATTAAGTAGTATACGTAGCTATCGGACTGCAGCTCCCAAAAATGCAAATGATTCGAATTTGAAGAATTCTTTTTAAAGGTTGAAGTCAAGTTAGTTACACTGAGGGGAAACCAGAGGCGGGAATTTAGCCTTTATTTAAACTTATAGAGAATAAGAACAGCCGGGATAATTAAGGAATAACTTAATTCCCCTCACTCTCCCTTCGAGCCATGGCTCGGGTTTCTGTTACCCCACGTTCTTGCATGCAGATTTGGTTCTGCAGGGACGGAAAACAAGTTGGTTCTTCTCCCGAGGTAAGGCGAAGCTACATTCATTTTCGTACTTTTTGTAGTATACTAGTATTCCGTCCTGGATTTTTCCGACGACATTAAACGTGAGAGGTTATGAGTGTACCTCGTCTCGAGGAAAGAAGGCTTGAGCTTTAAAGCTCCAAAAGAGGGTGGGTCAGTTTAGTTTCGGCTGCCACCAAGCGAGCGAAAAGTCTCACGACAGTTTATGAATAGAAGTATCAACAGCTAGAAATTATCAGCGTGTGCGGAAAATATCCGAGTCTGGCATCGCTATATTGCCTTTATGGATTTCGTCACATGTGTACACTGGTTTTCGTCTATAATGAGAGAAGGGGAAGAAAAAGAAATGTAAAAACCCGATTCGATTCTCAAATGTGTCTATAAGACATAAGTATCTCACAGTTCTAACTTTCCTACCACCATGTATTGATAAGCACCCCCATAACCTTCCCTTCACACTAATCAGAAATCCCTTTCCTCAACTCCCATAACTTCCCGATAACCTCCCCAGCCTTCGCCGAAATCCCATTATGCATAACCCCATTACTAATCCACTCCTTGACCCCTTTCGTCCTCCTCGCAAATACGCGCGTTAACTCAAAGTCTACATACATGTCTTCCAAATATGTCGCTGCATACACAGGTACTTTGTTCTGCGCTAACCGATCAAGGTCGTATAGCCTTCCCTCCCACTTTTTCGCAGCAAGGATTTCAGCGATTTGTTTTAGTGGTTTGAGGGAGGCGTAGGAGGTTAGCATTGACGGGTAGATCATTTCGCCGGTGAAGAAGAGGGCGCCGAGGGTACCCGGGATAGAGGGGGTTGACGATGCTAGGTAGGCATCGTAGGAACGGAGACGGTTGTCGGATTGTTGAAGGAGGATTCGGTTTGCAGACCAGTCTGAGGCGTTGCCACTATTTTATGATTGGTGTAAACGTTCGGAAGTGACTTTTTTATACAAATATATGTAGATATGAGGATGGGGATATGACTTGAACTTACTCTTGGCAATATATCGCCTCGTGCAAGATGCAATATATTACATGATCATCGAATGACTGATACGATTGAATCAAACTCAATGTTGGAGTAAGTATCTTTCCAAATCGAGTGATATCATTATGAGCTCTGAACACCAATTCTATCGAATGACATCATAGAGGTATTAGTCGGGGTTCATATATGTTTCAGAATATTTATATATTATACTTACTATGAATGCCATCAATACCCCCATGCATACCGAACGAGATACCCAAATCTCTAAATCGGTCGATGGTCAGAGTACCCCCGTTGGATAGCTTAACCTCATTTTCACCGAGGTATTTAGCGATCTCTTTGACTCGTTCGATATCTTGGGGGTATTTTGTATAGTACACAGTGTTCCGATCCGCCAAACGCTCTGATACAATCTATTAGTTATACTACTAGTTGAAGGCGGGGACTGGGTAAAACCTTACTATAGAGATTTGTATACACCTGATCCGGGGTGTTCTCACCAATAGGTGGAATACCACCGAACATAAATGCCTCTGTAATATATTCCGGCCTTACCCCCCAAAATTAGTAACCTTCCGTCACTCAAGTCATAATAGGTCCGGTGCGTGTGGTATACTCACCTAAAACTCAAATAAGTCGCAATACAAAACCCCCCAAAGCTCTGCCCCGCCAAACTCCACTTCCCCTCCTTCCCCACAAGCTTCTCCCTCACGACCTCCGCATCTCTAACAATATTATCTGCCCTGAAATGTGATACATAGTCTGCTTGCTCCTCCGGTGTGTCCCCGGGGATGTTTCCGGGGCAGATACATTCAGAAAGACCGGTTCCTCTTTGGTCCAGGAGGACGATCGTATAGCCCTTATCAATGAATTTGGAAACATATTCGGCTTTCGGGGTGGTATTATTGAAACCTGGCCCTCCTGTATTATATTTCGTGTTAAAATTTAAAGTCATACGGCAATTTTACGATAAATTCACACCAATCACGTACCATTTAAATAGCATACTTAATATCAAGGAGTTAGCTTCCTTTACTAAAAATCTTAATAAACTTAGAGACTATGTAATAAATGAAACTTACAATACGACCTATCGTCCCCTTCTTCCCTTTCCCCCTCTTCTCCGTTATCTTCCTTCTTCGCCTTCCTCTTTCCCGGTTTGACCGGCTTCTCGAATTTCTTGACTACCCGTGCAAAGATCGTGATTTCATGCCCGTCTGTTTTGGCATAATTCAAGGGAACACTAAAAAAGTGCTCCGTAATAGATAGATCCGGGTAGCCTAGAAAGTTATTATAATTAGAAAGGTGGGGTGGGTCGATATGAATTTAGAGGAGAAATAGAAGGATACTGACCATTCAGCTCGTACTTCTCGATATCATCTGCGTCAGCCCTCATGTCGTCGGTACTGCTCGTATATCTGTCCGCCTTTTATATATAATTAAGTATATAATATATACTGCTCCACACGCTATTCCAAAGCGGTTCTCAATCCTGATATATATAGGTGATTATTTTTTCGCCGAAGAGACCTATTTACTCTATCCTCGAACTTGTGATTCCGCCTTGTATATATAAATTTATATTTGCCCCAATACCCCGCGACTACTTTAGATTCGCGGTCTCTTCCTAGACGCCAGCGGGGATGATAGCAGTGCCGGCGTTAAAGGTGTATCACTGTCGTCTACGTCGACTGCTTCTCTCCTTCGTTTCCTACTCCCCTTTGTAAGAGCTAGAAACGAGGAAACCTCCTGGTAAACGGTATTGGTATTGGTATTAGTACTAGTATTGGTATTGGTATTGGTATTGGTACTGGTACTGGTATTTAAAGGTTGTAGTAGTTCCTTATCTTGACCGCGGCCTCTTGAACTATTTCCGGGTGCAGCGCGGCAGATCCAAAGATCTACAGCTTCAATACTTTCTTGACTAGCTCGACGCCTGCGTGCAAAGTCCCTTGGCGGTATTAAAAGAACTCGTTCAAAAATGGCACGAGGTGTGATCTCCTTTGGACTCTTGGAGGTGTCTTTTTGGCCGTAAGGGTAGAAAGTAGCTTTGAGTGCTGCTGGCAACGAAACGTGTCGTCGCTCTTTCTTTAGACGAAGGTCTTTAGGTCCCTCCGAGAGGTTTTTTATATTCTTGCTACTGGTATGGAGGTCTTTCTCATCAGGTAAGGTACCAGAAGGTTCCTTGCTGCTATTGTCGTGGTCGTTGCTGTGTGGGATATGATCCTCGTAGTCTTCTGCATATGCTATTTGACACTCTTGTTCCTCGTTCTCTTCTTCTTCGTCTTCGTCGTCGATGTCGAGGCAGTCGCCAACCCAGGTGGAGAATGTATCCTGTAGTTCTTGGAGGGTTGGGTATGAGCGTGTTGAGGGTTTGGCACCTCGTGCTAGATTGGCAAACATCATTTTGGTTAAGAGTTAAGCTGGGTAAGGCAGGTCAGTTTGTTCGTTGCTGGATGCACGTGGGAGCTGGATGGTTTGGTTCGTTCAGGTTTTTGGTTTGGAAGTGGTGGTGATCGTGTCGATGATGGTGATGGTTCGTGAAGAAGCTGTTTTTTTGAAGGATTGTAGGAAGAGAGATGGAGGATGATGAAGAGGTGATGAAGAGAAGGAGAGAAGGAGAAGAGGTCAACGAAGAAGCCAGTGAATAAATAATAATAAAATACTGTGAAACTTCGTGTGACGTCTTCAACACCAGCAGAAGCTCATAGACGTCTACCAACACACAGCATCACGACACAATGTTTCCAACCTCAGGAATACGACTCTGTGAGATTCTAAGCACCCACATAACCCCCTTTGGAATTATCCTTCAATACATATAGAGTAGCACACTAATATATGGAGTAGATGATATCTAGCAAAAGAAAGGAAGAATCTCAAAAACTTTCAAATATATTTTTTCAATTCAAAAGACCCCGCTTTTTTGTATAAAGAAAATAAAGTAAAATACTCAACAGTTCAAAGAAAAGGAAATGAAAGAGAAAAAAGAGATTGCAGGCTTGACGGCGACCAATAAAGAAAGAAGATCGAATCGTTTAAAGAAGAAAAGAAGAAAGGGAAGAAAAGTGGTAGAATCAAATATCCGCATCGAAGATATGCTAGATGCATGGCGATAGAAGAAGGGTAGAAAATAAAAAAGAAATTCAATAGATATCAACTTCAAACCTCGCCATCCCATTATCATACCCGCCCTTCTCAAAAACTTCAAATCAAAAAGCCCGCACCTCCTTGAAAGCAAAACAATCCAAAAACCCGATTCCTCCCAAAGAAATGGGGAGATCAAAACTTATATCCCTTTTCTCGTTGCCTCCCACATAGTACAAAGGTGTCCCAACATAGTACCCAGGAATATCTCCTCAATACCCAACTCCAAACCTGCAACCACGTTGATTCTTCCCAACTTCTTTCTTGCCATGGTATGCTCATACCACGCAAGCTTCGTCTCCAGTGGCTTTCCATCTCCGAGCAGTCCACCTGCCTGCGTAGGTCTGAAACCCTGCGGTCCATCGTCTATCTCGTAAAGGCTTTCGTTGACAAGATTGCTATTGCTTTGAGTGTCTGGCCTCCACATGAACCTTCGGCCCGAGAAGGTGAATATCCGTTTCCTGGGGCCATTTGGAATCGTTTCTCCTTGAGAATAGATGTCGACAGGGGTAGGGAGGTAGTGCTTATACGTCATATCTCCGATATTAAAAACTTGTCGTCCTTCACGGGCCGGTGTATATATATCCATACATCTCGTCTTCTTGCCGTCTTCACGGTGTAGTGACATTTCAACGAGAGTGGCATTGGCCTGTTTGAGGCCGTAAAGGTAGTAGATGGGGTTTTTGGAACCATCTTTGATTTCTATGTTCCATCCTTCTGCGCCACCACGGTATCTTTGAGCGGCGCCATAGCAGTGGTACATTTTTACGGGCAGAGAAAGACGAAGGAATGGAGTTAGGAGGTAGGTTCGTGGGTCCGGTGTTTGGATTACGGGTTGCTGTTGCTGGGGAACTCCTGCGGGGAAGGTGCCGACGCGGGTGAGTTGATTGGGGTCTTGTTGCGGAGGGTAGGTGGGAGGGGAGGAGCCAATTTGGGGAGATTGGTATGCGCCACCGTATGGGCTGGGGCTTTGGGCACCATATTGAGTGGCGGGGTTTGGTGGGATGCCTGATTGATACTGCTGGGGCGAGGCTACACCATTGGCGCCTTGGTGATTGTAGCCTAGGTCTAGTAATCATCAGTTATATTGAAACAAACAAAAAGACGGAGGGGTTGGTAGGGGTGTGGTCCTTACGCTGAGGAGGTTGGGATTGATGGCCACCAGAGCTAGCAATTGACTCTCTTCGAACATGCTCGCCATTGTACTGAGCCGGGTTTGGAGGAATTCCGCCGGCAGTTGGAGGGTAGGAAGTGACTGGTGGTTGCTGCTGTTGCTGAATCTGCGGTTGAACGGGTGGTTGCTGCTGCTGCACTGGTGGTTGGAATTGCTGCTGAGGGGGCTGCTGGGCCGGCTGTTGAGGGGGTGGTACAGGCTGCTGCGAATATGGCGATGTCGCCTGAGGACTGCCATACCCCCCAGCTGACACCTGCGACGGCGTCTCACTCGCAGGCGGCGAGTGATATACTCCTCCAGCACCACCAGGACCGCCACTAGCCAGCTGCGACTGGGCCTGTGACGGCGACGACACGGCAGCCGAATTCCCCTGAGCAGTATCCGGCACCGATGCCACAGACACGTAAGAAAACTTGCGCAATTTAGTCGAAATCTTAGGCGCAACGGTCTCCAACCTATCCCTCAGATCATCGAGTTCCAGCCATCCAGACTCCAGTTGGTTCTTCCGCTTATACCACGCGTTCAGCTCGGCTAGACGCTCGAAGCGGATGAGGACTTGTTCGTAGGTCCATTCGATACGGTCTTCTTGGGATTCGGCCTTGAGCGCCTCGACGTATTGTTTAAGACACTCCTGGTAGAGGTAATAGGCTTGTTTGTAGTCGCCGGCGGCATCGGATTGGATGGCCATCTTGCCCAGCCGGCTGCCCTCTGCGACCGGGTCCTCCATTATATCCTGATATAACTATCCCGAAGTACTCAGATAGGGTGCTTTAGAAGATATCGATACGGATAAGGATAAAGATAAGATCGAAGGTGGAGTAGGGAGGTATCTGGAGAAATCGCGCGGGTCGCGCCAGGCGGTGGCGTTGTTTTAAGGCGGAAGAGGGACAGACAAGACAAGACAACTGGAGAAAGCGGGAGTCGAGTCCGAGACAAGGAACAATTCGACTGCGACCGACCGACCGACCGAATACGAGATGAGATGATCTAGAATCGATACGGTAAGGTTAAAATTAAAATTAGATCCTCACCAGGCACATATAAAAAATATATAGACAAACGGTGAAGTCTTACGACGAGTACGTATATACGGGACGATGTGAGTATATTGTATGAAGTATGTGAGTACAAGTCAGAGGTTTGTTAATTATATTGATGTCAGCTGAATGAAAGAAACGGCATAGTCCAAAGTGGCTGGATCAATTGCTCTGATTTGGATTTAAACGGCTGATTGTGATCCTGCCGAATGCAATTACTTCAATTGCCCTGTACTTCCTTAATTTCGCTCACCGGCTCAGTCAATTCGGGCCTCAGCTCAGGCACGTTAGTCTGGTTTGTCGTGGAGGCGAGTTTCTCATGCGAGTGGGGCCTGTCAAATACTAATTAATAAGGGAGGCTGAATTAATATTGGACTCAAAACACCACCGGCACAGTCTATCACGACTGGTAACTTCGTGTATCAAGTGCCTAGATAGCCATTCTATGTGGCACATGGACTCGTACTACGGTGGCACTCTGCATACGGTTTTAACATGGCATGGTTTTGACAGAGGATGGGAAGGTTGAATAAACCGGAATCGATTTGTAGATGCTAAGCTGAGCTATGGTATATTATTACAGACAAAAGTGCAGAAATTCCAACCAACTCCAACATGCTGTGATAGTATATAAACTTGTTATCGAATCGAATCAAAGCAAAAAATCGTATCGTGTCGTTCGTACAATGCAATTCCCATACGGAAAAGAAATAGGTATATCCATGCCAATGCCCGTCAAGTCCGCTCATATCGGTCGGGCTTCAATAGTAATAACAAAAGACAATAAAATCCCAAGTACTCCAGGTGCAAGCAACAATTAGATAAAACAAGTTCCCACAATAGTACAACATATCATTAGCTTTGCAAAAGAAAAAAAAGGGATAAAACGATAGAGGAGAAGGGAAAGAAGGAATGAAAGGGGGGAAAGAAAGGAAGAAAGGGAAGAGAGAGAGGAAGAAAAGAAAGAGAGAATGGAGGGAGGAGCGGTGGTGATTATATATTATCTTCTGGCAAAGACAACTTCACAGCTCCCCAGAACAGGACTATCACATCGTGGAATCCCATTCTCATACTTTCTCCTCCTCTTAGTCTTCAAAGACAACTTTCTTTTCATACTTCCACTCCCACTCCCATACAAACTCTTCCTCTTCTCCCTTCCCGAGTCCATCCTCCTCACCACCCGGCCTCCATCACATTCCTCGTAGCTAAACCGAATTTTTTCCATCTCTTCCTTGGTTCTCTTTTGAAATAATACAGACCCAGAAGGTGCAGATGATGGTGTCTTCAACATCCTCACCGACTTTTCTTTCACCAGGGATACTCTTTCCTTAGGGATAGAGCCCCCAGACCCCTTCCCACCGGATCCCTTCCTTGGAATAGAAATCTTCAACTGCTTGCTCTTGACCCTTCTTGGCTTTGGTTGGTATATCGTCGTAGCGCCACCAACATTAACAGCAGTAGCCGTACCAATGCAAACTGTTTCTCCTCGATCTCTGATAGGTGAACACTCCTCATCAGTAACTGGTGGCGTCCACATCGCCTCCAATTTATCGAAACCCACAACATCACCACCACCACAAGTACTATCTAAGGTAGTAACGGTGTTCACCGTTGTAGAGCTAGACCCTAGATGCTCGTACATCCTAGTTGGTACTTCTTTTCTTTTGAAGGCCTTGTTGTTCTTCTGGGGGATTTGGAGTTGGGTAGCTGGTACTGGCTTGCGTTTCGGGATCTTCTTAGGGTCAATTTGACGGAATTGACCTGGTGTAGAAGGAGTGAAGAGGGTTTGTTCATGAGAACTTAGTGGGGGGGTTGAAGGTGTATCAACTTTGATAGTTATAGAACCCGATGCGCTATGGCTGGATTTCGAGGAGATAGTCTCGAAAGATGGACGATGAGACAAGTCTTCTTCGCAAAGGGTTGTAAGGCGACGGGAAGCTGTTTCCATTTCATTAGCATCCTCGTTTCTCAAATCCAATAAACTGAACAAACAAAGAAACTTACCAAGTCTCGCCTTGCTCCCTCTGCAGCCAACCGGTGACGCAATTCTCTTGATCCCACCGCACGACGAAGTCTCTCCCATTCCGTCCGCCCACTCTTCCAACCCCTCCAAATCCAATTCATCGTAACAAAATGTATCTTCCTGCCTCTCCTTCAATTCGGTCATATAACTCTCAACTCTAGCATTCAAAGCCTCGAGATTCTCAACCAACAGTTCTAACCCTTGGATCTGACTGTTCATATCCAACTTTGAAGAACGGATCGTAGAGGTCATTGAATCCAAGAGTGTCTGTGCCATATGTTCGTTCAGAGAGATCATGACGGCCTGGGAGAATGTGGACGACATGATCGTAACTATTTTTAAGGTTGGCGGGACCGATATTATTGTATTTGAAGTGGTTGTAGTGGCAGTCAAGGGGGTTGTGGGTATTATATCAACCGGTTCGACGAGATCAGCGATTGTGGGTGTCTGAAGCGTCTGAAGTTGGAGTTTGGGTGTTCTCTTGGTGGTTTTGTATTCGATCATAGAGAAGAACTAGTGCCTTTTTTGTGATTTTTGTGTGGTGGATGTGGTATTTTTGTTTGTTTGACGAGGGACTTCAGCAGGCAGCGAGAACAATGATCGAGTCCGTTCGGGTGAGTATCAGAACGACTCAATTCCTCAACTAGACGACCCTAATCGATCGTGCAGATGTGGTGAAAGAAAAGGATAAGATCGAACGGTAGAGAGAAAAAACAGGGTCGGGAAGGTAAAATTAGGAGGAAAGGGAAGGAAAACTATACAATTCCCATATACCCTGGATAAAAGTAAAATCGTGAAAAAAGGAAAAGATATAAAAAAGGAAAGAAAAAAAGTTGATTAAACCCGGCTCATACTCTCTTGTCGCATGTGTAGCTCGTCGGTATCGATACTAATTCTCAGTCCTAGAATCTTATATAGCATGGGTATTCAATCAGGAAGGTATAATATAATTCTGAACACAACCGACGTTACGTTTAACCAGGTAGCTATTATATTTGAGATATCGATATCGATGTATATTGAAAGAAATGAAAACGAGCGAGCCCAAGGGAATTAATTAGAATCGACAAATAAATGAAAAACATCAAGAAACATTGATTCATCTCATCCGGGCGGGCGGGGGAACCACTGAAGTATATAAAAAAATCCGGCCATGCCCATCCTACACAGCAGCAAATGTGAAGCACCCCAACAACCTTGTCACATTTTCATGCGGATCAGAAACAGTACAGACCAGATCTTACTCATGTAAGTACTATATGTGATGTATGTATGTACACCGGGTTCTGTAGCGGACCTGCAACCAACCTACTGTATGTCATTGAGGAAGCCTCCAAAAAAAAGGAATGTTGTACCGCAGTCCTGGAGGTCCAGTCCAGCATGACAAGACTCCAAAAGTCTAAGGCAAGGCTGGCGCTCTCTGCAATGCAAACCCACTACCACTACCACCCGGGGAGCTCAGCTTGCCCAGATGCGATTTTGCGGATGGGCAAACAAGCCCGCAAAATCCATTGAAGCGGGCTGCAAGGTGCCCTGGAAACTTATCTCTATGCAATAATAGCGGTGTATGCTCACGAAAGTAGGAAGGGTGTACTGTGCAAGCAGTGGCACATGCGCACCGCCAAAAAAAGCATCCTTTCCTTGCTTTTCTTTTCTTTTCTTTGCCCGGGGTGTGTTTAATTTTCTTCTTTTTCCTATGGGGAAAACTCCAACGTCAATCCCATACAGCTGTACGGAATGTCTACAAATAGGTCTCCACCCAGACACCCCTGGTCGGCTAGCAAGCACCAGGCACACAGAGCATGCCTCGTCTGCGCGGGTTAACGTTTTTTCTCTTCTTAGTCTACCTACCGCGGGTGCGACGATATAATATAAAAAATGTCGATATCATAAGAGGGTGTATTTAGGGAACAACCGCATTGACTGGGTAAGCCTTGCAAACAATGAATATGAATAAACACTTACCTACATGCACTGTTCCACCGATATTCCAAAGCATACGAATTCAAAGAAACTCTAGATGATAACTATAGATTTCCCAAAATCCCTCCGGTAGCACTTCACCGGTCACGTTGCCAGAAATTCCCAACCGCAACCCCACGTTTCCAACAGTATTGTAACCTTGCCCATCTTAGCGTGAGATTCTAACACCCCCCAAAGGATACCAACCCAACCTGACTTTGGTTACACCGCGTATTTTCATACCTGCAGAAAAGCGCTCGACCTGTATGTTCATGGTTTCCAAAGGGTCAAATCAAACACTCTCATAGGTCAGTCAAGAGCCTCCTTCCGGGGAAATTTTTAATAAAACCTCATATATTAGAAGATATTATATTCCTGCAAAATGATCCTTTGACATTTAGTAATTTTTTTTCGTTTCCCGTGGAACAGACCCAATTCGATTGTTTTTTTTTTTTACACGAATTGGAAACGAGGTGGATGGGATGGATCGATTCCTGTAGCTAGGGTGGCGAGTTGGATTATTGGATTATCATGACCGCTGATACGAAGTGCAAGCGAACTTTTGAGCCAGCGGCTTGATCTTGACTCGAGAACCGTCGTCTTTCCTGGACATAATCAGATCGGATGGCGGGAGTTTCCATACTTCTTTTCCTTTACGATTTAATTACTTTTTACTTTTCCCTCCTCTTTCCCGAATATCTACTCATTATTAACTAGACCTCCATCGATGTTGATGACATAGAGTGGGTTTCGTTATCCAAGCGATGCTACCTCTTGACTACCAAAGCCTCAATGAATATAATCTGTCCTAACTACTTATTACTTCGCAAACTAGTTAACTCTAAAATGGTATCGATATGTATCCACAACTGCTTCCCAAAACGCGCGCCATCTGATCTAGTCTGTTTTCAACATGGATATTTGGATTTCAGATTTAGATTTTTTGCAACCAGGGCCAAATTTGGGATCTGGAATCCCTCGGCGTAACCCAGACCTGGTCTAGATGGTCTCGTAGGGGCTGTTGGGCGACCAACTTGCTCCAGAGATAGCAGCACTACCCAATGGTGCCAATTGCAAACCTAACCATCACGGTTTAATATTCCCGCGCGGATTACTGTGCATCCAAAAAAATCTCCACCTCACCTGTGTATTAACCGACAACCAAACGTTGCCAAAAAGGAAGTAGAATCAAATAGATCTAAAACACTTCGCCCGTTCCGGGCCCCCAGTCTCGACTTCGGCTCTCGTGGGTGTTGACCCAGGGAGGAAAGGAAACAGTTAAGCTAATCTCAAGAAAAGGCTAAGACGCTCACCGCCGTCAGGCTAGGACCCACTTCTGATGTCTTCCTGCAGAAAACAGACGTCGGCGGGATCAAAAGTGTGCATCCGGAATGCTAGGTAGTTGAGAGGCGAGAATGAGGCTATGGGAGGACCACACCCTTTTTTGGGAATCCTAGGAATCGCATTGTTGAGAGAACAAAGCTGGATAGGCGGCGGCGGGAATGGCTGAGTAAGAATCCCCTTGCCAAAACTCTCTTTCTTGCGATGTGCGGTTTCTTGGGATCTTCGTATACGGATAATCGGACCCTGAGCTGGTGCTGGTACTATACTACTGCCAGTGGACAGCTGTAAATGGAAAAAAATATCTGGCATCGGAAAAATAGACTTATCTCAAACATTGCGCCGCAGGTTGGAACTATAATTGAATCATCGCCGTGAGGCTAGAATTTATGTCTATACGTGGCGTTGGAGTTGGGTATCCTGAAAGCGCTTGACTTTGCAGATAGATCCAAACGACGAGGTCAGGCTTTTTTTGGGATTCAAAATTTTCAACATTCGTCGAAACTCGAGTCTATAGATATCGATATGCATCACGGTTATTCACCTGCAGGTTGGGCAAATCATTCCCGCAAATCTGATACATCGCGATTCGCATTATCTGCGTAAAGTTGTCATGAATAAACATCGGATCCCCAATCATCGATGCATCTACAACCATTCAACCGAAACGGTTTAAAAAAAGGACTGTAGAGCCGCCCAAGACTATTTCCTCACTTGCTTGAGCTTTGTTCGTTTTTTAGTCAATCTTTTGCCAGGGATTCAACCAGGTTTCAGTGCATCTTTTCTTCTTCAGCTTGCGCAATTCGCTAGCTAGGCCCCGATATGCATATACCCGTCTCGTCCCCTTTCCACCGCCCGTGCATCAATGCTGACCTCGCCGCACGAATACCCTATTGTCAGTCATTCTTGGACGATTTCTTATGTGCATATACTTACTTTTCGCTAACAATAACCATATTTCCAAATTATCCAATTAATCGCACAGAAAATAGGAAAGAAACCTTGTGAAGCGCCGTGCACGCTGCAAGCAGCACAGCGGTGGGAAAGGAATAGATCCCGCTCTCTACATGACCCGTCTGTTTGATCCGGCTGTTGTAGATGTTTTAAAACAATACTGTTGAACGTCAAGGACAGGCACAGTATCGTTTATGAAGTCTTATCTCATCGCCACGACCTACTTACCGACCGCCGACCGGTCTCTCCCGCCTTTTTTTCTCTCTGTGTCTATCCTTTCGTTTATACCCTTGAAACGACATATATGAGAGTGGGTTTATATGGCTAAACTTGCGAATCTTACGAGTCTTGGGTCGCACAAAGATAATAAAATTAAGTTTTTCTCTCTCTCCCTCTCTCTTTTTCTCTTCCTGCTCCTTAAGCCCTTACCGGCCGAAAAGATTGCGGTTTACTGCTGCGGCCGACTGGGCTTAAACTCGTTTCCGTGAGAGACTTGAGATGAGGCTACTGTTACCGACAGAATAATATTATCTATCTGTCCCGGGGTTGAAGCCTGGTCCCAAGGGGTTTTTCGTCCGTAAGATAGAATCCCGGGAACATTGCATATTTTTAAAACTCTTCCCCTCCCTCCCTCTCTGTCTTGTGTATTTTTCCTACGTGCGGCTTTGTGGCCATAAGTATAGGCAGACATATACACTCATCCCACCGTAGATACTTACTTTACTTACTCATTCGAGAGACCCTTTTTAAGGTCCCCACTTTCCTCCATCAACCAGAGCATTTTACTCCACAAGGACAGGGTCGAGCTCCCCCATGTACCCATCGAACTCCTGAAGAGAAAAAAACCCCACCTCCTAAAAAAAGAATCTTTCTCCCATTCTCATTGGGGGATTGTTTGTTCTAGAGCTTGCATCTACTTCTAAAATCGACATCTGCATATGGTATTCCGTCTACCGGACAAGGACCATTGGAATGGGTCCTCGCTTATAGACAACTGTGGAGAACATCTCCACCATTTTTCAAGATCTTACATACTTGTGGATTTTTGGGTGGGTGTGTGTGCAAAGCTAGTGGGGACCTATCGAAGAACTCCCTAAGAATTGAACAGGAAGAAGTATAGATCGCAATTTGTGCTTAGATTTGGTAACATTTAGATATGAATGAGCCTCCCTCGATGTGGGGCAGTTGATTCAATGATGTAGTATACATATGTAATGGCCATTGCATTACGCCTATAGGGTATCACAGCAGAAGAAAAAATTACATTCCATCGGGATTACGCAACGTGTGCCCATGTGTGAAGTCTTCGTTTTTTTCTTTTGTGATCTCCTGTCCTCCTGAAAATCATGTAAGTATGTAGCTGCGCACGCTGTTGTCGCATGGCACGCGAGAACAAAAAATCTCGGGGACACGCGGAGTACGCTCACTGTACTTGAGATTTGATGAATAAAGGGGTCATGTATGACAATCGTGTTCGGCTACTTGCATTTCCCAATGGCCAGATAGGTTTCATGCATTGATTGAAGGTATTTGAGATGGTGCGAAAGTTGATATATAATATATAATGTAAGGCGGACCTTCGAAAGGAATATGAGGGCATAAAATATCAAGCATGATCGCGGGTTTGGGCGTAAGCTTTTCTCCCTCACTCCCCTCTATCTCTCTTTGCGCAGGAACGAGAGAAGAAATAATTCAAATATTTCGTGTTCATGTCATTTGTTTGTAATACTCATTGATTGTAATCTGATCTTTCACACGTTTACTCCTTTTTCCTACGTCGGAACTCTAATTACTGTACAAGGGGCGTAAGGGTAGCAACTGACAGCCGACTTTCTCCGAGCAGAGAGAAACAGCATTGAGGAAGATGAGAAAATGTTCAGTAAGCCTTTGGATTTTTTGGTGCGGATACCTATCGACGGTATCTTAGTGCTGACAGGTTCGTTTTCGCTTGCGCCTCCCACGCTTTTTTTCTCTCAGATCTGCAACCGAAGGCTGGTAGCTGGTAGCTGGTACATTAGTTGCGCATTTACCCGGTCCTATAAACGTTAAACACACCAAATTGGAGATGGATTACTAACATTTAGTATGGAGAATATTTGAATTGGATTCTGGTGGTGTCGATTATAGTGGGTCCGATGTTTTGAATATAGCTATATAGAGCTACTTTCTGACAGTATAGTACCTAGCTTTAGCTTGGGAAGCCGTTAACCAGCCGTTAGAGCTCGAGCTCTATAGCCTCAAGCGCTCTTTTGACAATGCAAGACGCTAGATCGGGTATCGACAGGGAGTACCTCGGTCAGATGATGTGACGTCGATGTTTTAGTTTCTTTAAATATAAACATTTCGAGATACAACGAAGATGCTAAATGAGGTTTTGGAAAAAGTACTAGTCAAGTCATTTACACATTATTCGATACTTATGGCTCAAGTCAAGCCTCGATCATTCTCCATTGTCTTCAAAGTCCCCGTCGGAATCGTTCGGCTTTCGGGCAATACGTTCATAGTTCGTATCTGTCAGCACTGTCAGCTTGTGGCAGCGGGGGTTATGTAAACACTGTTACAGAGACTGTATGTTTTTTTTTTTTTTGAACCGTTACAATTACCTGGACATGTCGACTTCAATGCCCATGACTAAGTAAGTAATTGCTCAAGTATACAATGGATTCGGGCGAAGGACCAACCGTATCCTCGAGTGCGCAGGGCTACGTTAACAGCAGTTATATTTTGAGGTACAGCTGCAGATGCATGTATCAAGCTGATCAAGTGCAAGTGTACTGATATAAACCAGCGACATAATGAAATCCAGGGGCAAATAATGTAGGTGAGTTCGTCGTTGGTTGAAATATTGTAACGGTCGTAATTCATATGATATCACAAACAATCGCGGTCTTTGTCCATGTAATCGTGACGTCTCTAACGATATGAGCCTGAGGCACAGTCTTCCAACATCTGGTCTCACGTGACCTTACCTTCGGCCCGCTCGGCTTTTATCTCGGCAGCATAACCGTTAAATCCGATTCCGAACCACACCTCAACCTCCCAACAACCGGCAACCACGAGCCTCACGCCACTACCACCACCTCGAATGACGACGATGCAGTCCTCAATATTATGACCCCCTCATCCCATTGTACATAATCTCTCCTCTACTGTGCTACTCACATCGCAAACAACCCCATCATGGCCGTCGCAAGACCCGCCGCAAGAGCGGCCCTCAAACGAGCAATCATCCCACCCACATTCTTCACCTCCCCGGCCGCCCGACGCACCAATTTCATAAACCCACGATACTTCACCCATTCCAACCCTCTAAAACTCACTTCTCCCTCCCCATTCTCCTCCGTCCTCTCGACCTTACGAAAATCCAAACCTTCCATCCCATCCGCCCGACAATTCTCAACATCTTCCCGTCGTCCGTTAGCTAGCCGATACTTCTCGTCCTCTGCGGCAGCAAATGGCAATGGACACAGTCAGACCGTCGGAGAGCGTATGCGCGCTTTATTCAAGGAGTACGGCATGTCTGCTGTCGGTGTATATTTCCTCCTATCGGTCCTGGACTTCCCATTTTGCTTCCTCTTCGTGAAAATGGTTGGGACGGAGAAAATAGCACATTACGAACATATCATTATCGATGGGTTTTGGAATGTAATGCCGGAGACAATACTGCAGTTTAGACCTGCTGCTATAAAGGAAGCTAAAGTTGAAGCCGATAGGGTGGCAGTTGGTATTGGAAGTGATATCGACGCTTTGGCTCATGGTGAAGGTGTGATGGGACAAGGGGCTGTGAAAAATGGCAATGGAGGAGAAGCGAGTATCTGGACGGTACTGATACTGGCATATGCAGTCCATAAGAGCTTGATATTCTTCAGGGTACCGTTAGCAGCAGCAGTTACCCCAAAGATCGTACAGAAGTTAAGAGGGTGGGGGTTCAATATCGGAAAGAAGGGAGGAGTCAGGCAAGGAGTTAAAGATGCTAGGGCTAATTTGAAGGAGAGAAGATCGAAAAAAGGCAAGAGGAAGAACGATGATGACGACGACTGAGCGGGGGCGTTTTGTGGTGTCATTCTGACGGCAGGTTTATTGGAATACCGGGTGATACTTCTCCACACTTTTTATGCTACCGTGGCCCATTAATAATAACTTATTTAGCACTGTATATATTTATCATTTAGACTACCTATGTAAGATACGTATTGGTGGAGGTGAGCTGTGTGTATTGTCTTTTGTATCATTGGAGGGGCTCCGAAATCATAACTTTAGACTAGTTAAAACAATAAAACATTAGAATAGGGGAGGATATCAAGATCACAGAATTTTACCGCGTCAAAACAGATGAAAAATGCTGTCCGGATGCATCCTCAATCTGATCATGAATTGAGATCACTCGAATATCCGCTCCACGATAGATGCACACAAATACCTACTCCAGCACAGATAAGCGAGATATAGTCGGCACTTATGCCGACTTATCACTACAACATTACAGCATTGCTTTAGTCTTCCAATAAGGTCTGTGATATGATGTACTATGAGAGATCTTAGAAATCCCCACGAGTCTACGATGCAAAATTAAAAGCAAGTATTTAATCCAGGAACGCCAACTTAATTTTCAGAAACTAAATCACTATAAAACAAATCCCTTCAATCCCCACCCATATAGTTCGTAAGATCGTAGAAAATCATAATCATATAATCATTGAAAATCGTAACCCCCGCTTTCCAAATCCGCAAGGTACGGCCCGCTTGTGCATCAATACATAAGCTTGTATAAAATGCAACACGCCGAGGGGACTTTCAAACTTCAATCGCTTAGAAGAAACGACGTCTGAGTCTTCCGTATCCGTATTCCTCCTTTGGTTCAGCAGTAACTGTGACAGTCTTGACGGCGGTGCGGGTGCAAGTGGTTGTGCTGACCTTGGTGACTGCTGGCTGAGTAATAGTCTCGGTCTTTACCACAGCCTTTCCGGAGACAGTGAGAGTAGTAGTCCTGTACATAGTTTCGGTCTTTGTGACTGGAGGAGCAGTGAAAGTAACCTCCTTGGGTCCAATTTGAACAGATTTGGTAGCAGTAACAGTCTCATATTCTGTGACAGGCTTCCCAGAGACAGTAGCAGTCCTGGTTTCAGTCTTTGTAACTGGAGGAGCGGTGAAGGTGACCTCCTTAGGTCCGATTTGGACTGATTTGGTAGCAGTAACGGTCTCATATTCTGTGACGGGCTTCCCAGAGACAGTAGCAGTCCTGGTTTCAGTCTCATATTCTGTGACGGGCTTCGCAGAGACAGTAGCAGTCCTGGTTTCAGTCTTTGT